AGCGGGGCGAGGGCCGCCGCTGCCGCCGGGGGTCGCCCCGCGGCTGCTCAGCAGCCGTCGGGCCCTTTCTGCGGCCTCGCGGGGTCACCCCCGGATCCCCGCGTCCTTCGCAGCCCCGGGCCGCGGTGTCGCTCCGGGCTTTGGCTTTGTGAGCCCGAGGCGGCCGGGGGCTGCCCGGTGGCCGCGGCGGGAGCGGCCAAACTGGGGGCTGCCCGAGGGGGCGGTTGCCGGTGCGGGACACAGCGGGGAGAGCAGCAATGAGGGCCAGCGTGTCCCCTCTGTCCTCCCGCTGCGGCGACAGCCCCGTGGGTCCAGTGAGCAGGGCCCGTGAGCAGCACTGGGCCCTCCAGAACCACCGCCAGGCCCAGAGCACCAACACAGGCACCTGTGCAAACATGTGCACAGACACAAGTGCATACGGGTGCAGACACCCATGGGTGCACACAAGCGCCCATGCTGGCACTGACATATGCACTGGTGCACACTGACACTGGTGCACACTGACACATGCACTGCAAAGCAGCTCTGCAGAGACACCCCGGCATGCACCACTCACGTCCACGGGAACACGCAAGGACACGCGTGTGCATGTGGGCACCAAAGTAGCAAGAACGCTGCACACATGTGCACCTCCCCCTGGAACAAGCACTGCACGCTTGCACACACACCACACACTTGTGCATATGCCACACACGTGCACATTGCACACCTGTGCACACTCGCACACACCGCACCTTGCACACACACCGGACACTTGTGGAAATTGCACACTTGTGCACATTGCACGCCTGTGCACTGCCCCTTGCACACACACCGCACACTTGTGCACACACTGACCTGCTGTGTGTCCGCGGGCAGGTTGGTGGCCGCCCCGTCCCGGCGGTGGTGCCGGGTCCAGCCCTGGCCGGGCTGCCCCGCACCGGGCGGCAGCTTCCATTGGCGGCGGGCGCGCGTAATTCGGGCGCACGAGAGAACAAACACTTGATCCCAAACTGCAATAACTGTGGTGGGCGATAGACATTAACAGGCACAATCCCACGTTGCATTTAATTTAATTCCACTCTTCCTGCCCCGAGCTACAGCTCCCTTCATTTTCATTTTTCCTGCGAATTCCCACAACTCAGACCTCTTTGATTTCCAGGTTTAATTAACAATGCTCATTAAATGGATTTTTATTCATTTCTTTTAATATTACCCTGCCACCTGTCTTTCAGAGGCAAGGGCTGATCACTTGTTCTAATTTATTTCTATTAATGGTAGCATTTAAAGAGGGGTGTACAGAGGGGGGCAGGCTTCACCCCCTCAACTGCACTGCAAGGCTGCTGCTCCTACAAGTTTTGTGTTAATTTGCCACCAGATCCATTCCATTTGCTGGGAAAAATCGGATTGGACATGCTGCGTGTTGCAGTTGTGTTCCTGCTCATCCTCAAAGCCCCTCATTTGGGTCATCCATACGATGTTGATTCTTTATCTACCCAAAAGAGGCAAAACTGTGAAATCCTGGCGGCAAACGCAGTGTGACCAGAGCAATTGGGGGGTCATTGCACGAGCGTGCAAGGGCCTTGGAGGTGCGACCGCTGCTCCCCCATGAAGAGAATGGCAGCAAGCGGGGCCTTACGGGCACAGGAGCACCTGTGTGAGTCCAGGACGGACTCGCCACCCTGCAGCGGTCCCTCCGCTGGGAATCCCTTCCCACATCCCACATCCCCATCCGGGCCTGTGCTGGGACCTGCGGGGCTGCAGCGAGAGGCCCGCGGGTCCCGTGTAGGGCTGAGCGGGGCCCCGCGGTCCTGCGGCCGCTCAGCGCGGCCACCTGCGCCACATCTTGCAGCAAGACGCCCCTGGCAGCGGGCTGCCTGCAGTTCCTGCAGCGCTGCAGCCCAATAACAACCTTATGAAATATTTAATGTTATTGCCGCTGCTTTTGGGGACGACATGAATAAACATTACAAGATAATTTATGCCCTGGTAGGGTTTACGGTGACATTTAAGCTGTCACAGTGGAGCAGAATGTGCATCTGCTCCGCTGGGACCTTATCCATCGTGTCCGAGGCAGGGAGGAAGCTGGGCTCATTCCTGGAGAGCTTGCCCGGTGCCGAAACGCACCGAGAGATAAGGCCCGCTTGGCATCAGGGCTTGCCAGTAGTAATCGGCATCTCCCACGTTCCTGGCAATGGAGACTCCGTGCCCACGGGTGCCAGGACCCCGTGGCAAAACCCGCCCGGGAGCCCCCGCTGCTTTTGAAGCCTTGGCGGGTGGCAGCTCCGCACTGGCTGCTTTGCAAGGGGCCGAGCGCCAGCCTCTTGCCGGGGACGTGCTGCGACGGAGCCGCCGGCCTGGCCGGGCTCCTGCAGCTCCTGCACATCCCACAGGGATCACAGGCAGCCGAGCGGGTGCCACCAACCCCGGCGAGCCCAGCACGAAGAGAGGGGCCCCTCTCAGTACAGGTGCCCATCTCATATTTACACGGACAGGAGCTTTCTGTCAATGGCAGAGCTCCGAGGCAGAGCAGCACGCAGGACAACGAAGAGCCAAAGCAAAAGCATTTGATATTCGAGGTGTTTTTATTTTTTGGACATTTTGAAATGCATTTATGACTCCTGCAGGGATGAGGTGTTCTTGGCAGCGAGGGCAGGCTCAGCCYACACCAAATCGCAGCACTGCTCTCTTCCAGCTCCAGCAGGCTCATTTGCTTGTTGGGTTTGCATTGCTCTTCTGGTAGCACCTACCTTTGTTTCAACTTGCATTAACTTTTCAGGGCTGAATTGGAAAGCTCAGAAAGATCCTTTGCCTGAACACCAGTAGAGAGTAGGCGCCTTTCCTCTGGTTATGTAAGGCACCTGCTTTCTTAAAATAACGTCTTTAAAATATATTAGAAAAACACCCCGAGTCAGCATCCTCTCAGGATAACTCCTCTCTTGGTTGTCTCTGAATCACGGGATTTTGCCATTTGCCAAGCCTGAGTTTTCATGGGAGTCTGCCCCGTGCCTTGTTTTTTTCCGCCTCAGCCTCGCTCCTAAAGAGCTCCTACACTGACATCTGGTGGAAGTGTCTCAAAGTAGCAGATCTCGGCCTAAAGCGGAGCTCTTGGTGTGGCCAAAAACACCTTTGGTTATTTCGCCTTTAAAATATCACCCCATCCAGGCTATTGTTCCCGTCCCCGTTGCAAAGTCAGTGGCACAAGCACAGGAGCTGTGATTTACCCCTCCAACCTATGCCTGTGTATACGATGTTACATATGTCCTTCCTTTACTGTAACGGGATACAGTGTTTTCCTGCTCTGTAGAGACAGGGTTGTTTCTACAAAGAGGAAATTTTGGCAGAATGTCAAGCAGGTCTATCTTGAAATATACTGGGGTAGCAACTGTCCTGGCCACCAGGTATCTAGACTGAGCGAATCCTGCTGAGCTTTGCTGCATTGCTCTAATTTTACGAGATTTGGTCACGCAAATGTCTCTCGTCCCTGTCCCTGGGGGACTTTCGTGCGGCCTCCCGGGGCCTCCGTGCGCAGGTGGTGCCGGGGTCCCTGCGGGCAGGGTTCACGCCAGGCTCTCTGCCTCTTGACTCCGACAGCAGGCAGCAGTGACTTGAGCTCTGCCTCCACCACACAGTCTGGTTTAAAAGTCGAGGCCAGGACAGGCCAGGATGCCGCCCGCTTCCCCATTTTCCGCTCACAGGGGGGCACCTCGTTTCCCCACCGCGGAGATGGGCCATCGTTCCAGCGCCTCCAAGATACACGTCTCTATATATGTTTTTAACCAGCTCATTGCGATGGATTTCTATTGAGCGCTTTTCTCCTAGATGTCACACTGCTACCAGAGGTGACAGGGATCAACAGGAGAAATCATTCCGCAGCAGCTTAAAGAAGTGGTGCCGCTCCAGAAGCAGTTAAGGATGCCTGGAATCGTTAATCTCAGCTGAACATCCGTGCTGCCGCTTGGAGCCCTGATCCCGAAGCTCTCCCGTGCTGAGGATGTGGGAGTGGGGGCTGCCGTGTCCAGGGGTACTCGGTGTGGAAGGAAGGGACATCATCACTCCTCGCTCCTCCTCCTCCTCCTTGGCTTGATCTCATCACTCCCGGTTCATTCTCGGTTGGTGGTTCTGCCACTACTGCTCCTGCCCAACCAGCCCTGCAGGTCTGGCCGGGCTGAGGCTTCCCAGGCTCTGCATGAGCTGGGCTGACATCACCTGGATGAGGAGGAGGAGGAGGAGGAAGGAGCTCGGCCCCGGGGTGACTCAGGGCCGGGCCAGGTGACGCTCCTGGCAGCTCCTAGCAAGCAAGAAGGGCAG